GAGGGGTTGACGGGCGGAGGCCGTAATGGTGGTGATGGTGTAATCTGATGGCAATTGCAAGTGGGATTCCTGCAGGATGTTAAATGGGCTGGCAGGGCTCGGGGGTGGGGGGTTGGGGTCAGGTTAGGTTGATTTCAGGTTTGTTTCTGGTTGAACCATCGGATAAATGGTGGCACTCACGAAAAGAGCACAACCGGGGAGAAATATGTTTGTAAGGTGAATGGCCAAGGGCTCAGCGTGGCCTCCTTCGCCCCCAAGTCCCCTGGGAATCAGATTACAGACAAACTCCAGTCCGGCAGGTCTAGGGTGGGGCTCAGGAAGGAAGCTGATAGGCAGTGGACTGTCCACAGACTTGCACTCCGAGTCTAAGGGTGCTGGAGTCCCCACCCTAAACACCAACCCTGATGGCAACTGTCCAGAAATGGCTAACTGTGAGGGCAACCCCAGTCCCCACCATTGTGTCTTGTCTGACAGCGCTGACTGAGGCTGCTGTTGTCAGTGGGCTTTGGGGGGATTGCAGACGGCCATATTTATCTTACCTGCTGTGTGCCTCTTGTGGCCTATCATCGCAAGTACCATAACCCAGCATCCCTTGGTTTGAGTTTGGCCAATGGAAGGTCAAGGAGAAAGGCAGGGAGAGAGGATTTTTTTTAAGCTAATTTTTTAACGGAAATTTTATATATGCATCCAGTGTGTTTGATCTAGCTGACCCCCATTCTCTCCACTCCGGTTCCTCTTCCATCCCCTACCACAGTTTCCTCCCAACCTCGTGTGTTAATTGCTTAGCAACTGAGCGCCGCCAGCATGTGTCCAGACTATGTAGGGCTTATCTGCTGGAGTAAGGGTGGCCACTCATGGGGACCCTTGAGGAACACTGACTCCCCTTCTCCGAGCAGCCATCAGTCGCTAAGAGCTCCTCCGCTGGGGTGGGGCTTTGACCCTCCCTCTTCCCGCTGAAATTTTTTTCTGTCTTGAGCTTGCCAGGTTTCACGCATGATGTCACAACCACTGTGAGTTATCCGGACAGCTGCCCAGGTGTGTCCTGAAAACAGCTTTGCTGTCGTCATCCACCGCCTCTGGCACGGGTTCCACCCTCTCGTCCACAAAGATTCCCTGAGCCTTGGGAGGGAGGGTACAGGGTAGATGTCCCATTCAGGACATTCTCTGCACGTTGACTGGACTGGTTGTTCTACGGTACACGGGGGCTTCTCCGATGAAGGCTGAGAGTTGCGTTAACCTGGGAGCGTAATGATACGCTGTTGGGAGTCAGTTCAATACCATGTGGGCTGGGAGAGGGAGGTTGAGACATCGTTTCTCTCGGTCTCTGCCTGCTGGCACCATTTGCTTGCTGCCATAGCCGCTCGTTGAAGGGCCCTCTCCACCCACCCTCCGCCACTCTCCCGCTGGCAGTGGTGGAAGTTGGTGACTCTGCACACCTCTCGTGTCCTCTTCAAATTACAGAAGAGCACAGCTTATATCTGCCATTCGTCCCTTGTCCTGCCAGCTGTGGCCAGGATGTGGGGCCTCCTTATTCCACGGTAGGGACTTGAGAACAGAGATGGATGGGGTGAGGGGGGACCCTTTCCCTTCAATGCACAGTACAGTGTGTAGGAGCACTTGTCACTGACAAGTGTTCTCTGTTGGGACTTCTGGGAACTGGGGAGAACACAGACAAAGCTGAGGGTGATGGCTTGGAAGGATGGGCTCCCTGGCCCCCAATTCTGTCGCGCCATTCTCTAAACACCTTCTGCCATAAGCTTTCTCCTCCTCCTCTGACACCCAGGTTCTTCCAGCTGTGTCTGTAAGTTGTCCCTCCAACCTCAGTTTGGGGTTCTGGTTTTAGATGGCTGCACTGTGTGTGGCGAGAACATTCTCTCAGATGCTTCGTAGAATTCAGGAAGTGTAGGAAGGGGAGGCCCAGCTTCCTCTCTAGGGTAGCAGGAGGTGGCCGGGGGAGGGCAGGAGAGTAGTCTCTGTCCAGTGTGAGGGGCCCTGTGGCTGTGGGGTGCCTGGAAGACATTTGCCAGCCACTTCTTCCTTGGGCACCTCTAAAGCAACAGCTGTGGGGGGTGGGGAGCAGGTTGAAGAGATGCACCCCCATTCTAATAGGGAAAATGCTGTAAGCGACGGCCTTGGGCCACATCTCAATTTCATGCGGCGGCGGTGTTTAATGAAAAAGGTTGCTCAGGGTGCGCACCAGTGGAGGAATGGCCTGGGGTGGGTATATGCTGTGGTAGCTGCAGAATAGAGGGGACTCCAGACCTGAACACACACCCTGATTCTTACCAGGACTGCATGGGATCTGTACAGACATGTCCCAGTCATTAGTAACCTGTACCCCAGATCTAGACACTACCTTCGACACTGTGCTTCAGGGGAAGACAGGTTCCAGACTTCCAACCCCTTCGGGACAGGCAAGAGGCATTCCAGTAGAGCGGGTTTCCTGAGTGCTGGACAGAGGTCACGTGGGTGTCAGCGCAGCCACTGAAGTCTGTGTGTATGGGTTAGCATCCATCCAGCTGCACCATTCTCTGCAGTCTGGTATTCCATTCATCCAGCTGAGCCCATTATGACCAAGTGCCACAACTCAGCTACCCATCCTCCGTGCTAGCAGGGAAGACAGGTGACCACTTTAACTGGGGCTGGGGTGGGATTCTGTGGTAACACAGGAGTTCTATCAAGGGCCTCCGAGAGGAGGTGGCATTTACGCCTTAAGAATGAGAAGGTGTTTACCAAGTAGGAAAGGAAAGCCTTCTTAGCAGGGGTGGATGGGCTGACTGGCATGGAAGAGGGTGTGGCACCCAGAGTAAAAAGTATTGACGGAAGGGTTTGATGGGCTCAGAGGGCGGATGGAACAGTCCGATGATATGGGTGTCAAACAGACGTGTTAAACTCGCAGCCACAGCCCCTGGACGTGTTACTCCCAACACTCTGGGCCCAGGCCTTGTGCAAAGGGGTAGGGGTAGGACTCAGGGTTTGGGGACAGGGGCTGTGTCTCCTTGAGCTGCTTAGGGGAAGGCATGCGGCCCTGGAGCCCAGCAGGGGCAGGCTGTGCCCATCACCATGGCAGTTTGTGGGCAGAACCTCTTGGCGGAGGGAAGATTGCACTGCCAGCCACTTCCTCTGGTTCCTTCCCTTTGCCTGATGTCACGGTTACCTCGTCCTGCTCTGGGGTGAGGCTGAGGTCGGGCGGAATCAATTTCAGCCAGGTTTCTGTATCCTAGATGCAGGTCAGCCAGGGGAGCTGTCACTTCTGGTTCGATTTCAAAGGAGGCCATGGGCCTGGGAGGCGTAGGGTGTGGAGGACTCCATGGGGCACCTTTCCAGCAGCCTCCAGCAGTGCGGCTTAAGGAGGAGTCTTAAGGTGGTGGGGAAGGAGGAAGTAGGCTGCCTTGCCAGAATCTGTGTCAGGGGCCGCCGGCCTGGGTCCTGGGCTGGGCCCTCTCTCCATGCTCTTGACTGTGCCAAAAGTGCAGGGAGAGAGGATGCTTGCTTTCCTGGCTGATGTCCCTTTGGACTGAGAGAGACCTTGTCACAGGCTGTGGGCCAGAGTCACCCCCAACCTTACCCCACTCTGGAAGTGACAGAGTTGGCAAGCCCAGAGCAACACCACAGCTTGTGGCCTCTTAACTTGGAGCTGTCCGCAGCCCAGCTGGCCCTCCGAGGCTTCCAGATGTCCCTGGTTGACAGGGACAGCACAAGGCACCCCAATAGAAAAATCCTGAAGGAATGTGGCTCAGCTGGCAAAGTGTTGGGCTAGCATGCACAGGCCCTCGGTTCAACCCCCAGTACTTAATAAATTGAGTCTGTGTGGTAGCCCACAGCTATAATCTTAGCACTCAGGAAGTGGGGACCAGGTGATTACAAACTCAGGGTCATCTATATAGTAAGTCTATATAGTGAGTTGGGAAGCAGCCTTGGCTACATGAGACACTGCCTCCAAAAAAAAAAAAAAAAAAAAAAATTTTTTTTTTTTTTTTTTTTTTAAAGAGTATAAAAGTTGAAACTGGTAAGCCATGAGTCTAAAATCTGGCTCTGCTGTGTCTTTGCTGTGGCCTTGGGTAAAGCAAATTTCTAAGCCTCAGACTTACTGTCTACAAAATGGGACAATAACAGCACCTTCCTGTAAGACTTGGTCTCGAGGATAGAGTGGTGGGTGAGTGCCGAAACCATTTGTCAAAGTTGGCAAGAGGCAGCGCTTATTATTACTGATAGTGAAAACCTAGCACCTGCCAGTCAGGATGGCTGGATGGTGAGTTTTGGCCCCTCCTGGGTTGTAGGCCTTATTTTAAGAGGCCTGAATTCCTTGGAGAAGACAGGCTAATTTGTAATCTCAAGGGATCCAAGGATGCATCCTGGCCCTCTTCTTAGCTTTCTCACACCTGGAGTCTTAGGAGAGAACTAAAAAAAGAAAAGAGAGATGGAAAAGAGAATTCCAGCCAGGTGAGGAGGCAGAGTTACCTGGACAGCCTTGGGCAATGGATCAGAAGTTTGGAGGACCGAGAAAAGGAGTCATATTGGTAGAAAGGTGTAGTGAGGGTTTGAAACCGCAGCAGAAGAGGTGAAGTAAAGACAGTCTGGGAGGGCTGGGTGAGTAATGGGAACCTGGGTCTCTGCCCAAGGTGTTTTTAAAGGAAGTGCCTGGGAGCTGCTGGCCTGGAAAAAAATCACACCCAGAGGGTTTGAGCCACACAGAACAGGTTGCCCCACCTGCTCTGGGGAGCCGCCTGCCTCCTGAGTGGACTGGCCAGGCTCCCAGCCCCAGAAACTCTGGCTGAGCCAGGTAGCCCTGCCCATAGGGGACACCGGCTCCTCCCAGGATGCCCACCTGCCCCGAGGAGTATCCCCCTGTGACCAGGAGACCCGTCTCAGCAGCCAGAGGTGTTTGCTGAGATGTGGGTGAGAAAGGGGGGTCTGTCCCCATGTCTGTGCACATATCGGGGGGGAGCTGTCCCCAGAGCCACCTGTGGTGTCTAATCGGTGGCTCTGTGCCCTCACAGCTAGACGAGGAAGAAGAGCGGAGGAAAAGGCGCCGGGAGAAGAACAAAGTCGCTGCTGCCAGATGCCGGAACAAGAAGAAGGAGCGCACGGAGTTTCTGCAGAGGGTGAGTGGGGCGGCTGTGGCCGGGGAGGCGCCCCATCCTTTGCAGGGGCTGACGTGCTCCGTAGCCGGGGGACACCATCTGACACCGTGCAGCCCAGATGAGGTAGAAGGCTCAGTGTTTTCCTCCGCTGAGCTTAGATCTTGGGTACCGACTGACCCGATGGCCCAGACATGGCACCATCCATTTTGGCCCCTTGCAGCCACCACAGTGTTCTAGGGTACATGCTAATGAAGTAGGATGTTGGGGGCAATGTCATGTCTGTGGGCAGTAGATGTAGCTCACCGGGCTGGCTACCAGGAAAAACTCTCTTTATTACAACATCTCATCCATCCTGCATCCCACACTGGCCAGGCCTTGGCCCCACCGCAGATGACCTCTGAACTCTTTGCTGCTGCCTCCAGGGACCCGAGGTCGGTCAGCCTCCATTTGCTGCCCTTTGCCTCCCACTATCATCTGCCTTTTTACTCAGGATTTGCTTAGTGGGATGCTTGCTCTTTCTTCCCTTGGACCCTGTCTCTTAGCCCCTGCCTTTGTCTCAAAAAAAAAAAGGTGACAGTGAAGGGACGTGAGTGGAAAGCTGAGTAGCACCCTCTGTAGTCAGCAGTGCCCCAGGCCAGTCACTGGTTTATTATTGAACAGTATAGCCATGGCATACACTAACTTTAACGGGCATGGGTTATTATTCTGTGTGCCACCACAGCGGTGAGCAGTAGTCATGACTGTTGGCACAGCCAGGCACTGTACCGCGTGCCGAGTGTGCGATCTCATTTTGTGAGCAGAGTAGCCAGTAAAGACCGGGATCTCTGTGACTGCTTTCTGCAGGTAAGGAAATTGCGGTGAAGACAGTGACCCGCCCAGAGCTCTCAGCCACCAAAGGGGGGGGGGGGGACTGATGTCATTGCCTGCTACTAATCTCAGCTCTTCATGTTCCTAATCCTGCTGTGACCCTCGTCTCCTTGGCTGGGTCATTTATTAATTCATTTATTAATTCAACAAGTGCAGGAAGTGCTAGGCAGGACGCTGTTGGGGGGCATAGCAAGAGCCACCATCGTCCTTCTGTGGGAGACGAAGAGGTAAGGCCGAATTGGCCTGATGTTCTCTGACACCAGGGTTTGTGTTCCCTTCTCATGTCTGCCATGAGCAGAGAGCTGTTCTGGGGTCACGGGTGTGAACAGTTGGGCGCCCTGGGCAGGGTGGCGCTTATCAACAAGACTGAGTTGCCTACGGCTGGGAGGTCTTTGAGATGGTATGCAACAGTAGACTTGACTGTTCAGCAGTTTCTAAGATGCAGGCCTTAGGGGCTAGAGAGATGGCTCAGTAGTTAAGAGCACTGTCTGCTCTTCCAAAGGACCTGGGTTCAACTCCCAGCATCCACATGACAGCTCACAACTGGCTGTAACTCTAGTTCCAGGTGTTCTGAAACCCTCACACCAATACACATGAAATAAAATTAAATGTTATTTTAAATATATATATATATAATATATGATATATGATATATATATATATATATATATATATATATATATATATATATATATATAATGAAGGGAGTATCCAGTGCTGTATGTCCAGCATCAAGTACCTGATGGTCAGAGCCGTGAGGTTGAGGCAGGCTTCTTAAAAGAAGCCTCCCATTCGACTCCAGCTTCCTGGGTCTCATGAGCCAGTTAGCAGGCAAGATCTGTCTACACCAGAGGCTCCCAACGACACACCAGTTCAGTGGATAGTCAGTGCCAGATGACAGCTCTTCATTCTACTAATACTTGCTAAGCGCCCACTGTGTGCCTATGCAGTCAGTCAGCGTCAGACGAAGCTGTCAAAAGCCCACTGTGCGCCAGGCCGTCCACATGGCTACAAATTTCAGTCAGGTAATGTTAATTGTTCCCATTTTAGAAACTGATCTGTAGTTCAAGTACAGATCTGTAGAGACCAAGTCACTTGCCCAGGGCCACACTGCTAGCAAGTGCTAGCATCTCTGTCTGTGGGTCAGTGGGCCCTGGCCTCTCAGTGGACAGCAGATGGCAGATGAGGAGCAGTAGCCACTGAGGAGTGGTGTTTTGGAAGCCAGAGTGCTATGGGAGCATGCAGTGCTGCTAAGGGAAGACTCTTCCATTTGTGAGATAAAACAGGGGAAGACAGTCATAGGATAAAAAAAAAACGTGGGATTTCGGGGGGGGGGGTGTCACTGGAAGCAGCGTGTAAAAGGCAGGTGGTGCAGTTTAAGGGTGCGTTCAGGGCATCAACAAAAACATCCTTCGTGTGGCTGGAGGTTAGACGTCTGGGTGGAAGGGCAGAGCGGCAGGCAGACCCAGAGCCTCATTCGTAGAATGATCCTACAGGCTGGCTTGTCTGAGACAGATCAATGCATCCCCCGCTGTCATGGCCCATGGCACCTTGGCCGCCTTCCACTCTCACAGGTGTCCCCGTTACTTGATAATATCTATGGCCGTGGGGAGCCAGGACAGGGCTCCGGAGGAGAAGGGCGCCAGTCAGAGGAGTCCCCTGGCTGTGGGGCAGGCCTTGGGTTGGGGTAGCTGAAGTAGTACTGCATTATCCCATAATAGGTGTGGCTGCCAAGATGGAGAAAACTATGTGACCTTGGGTCTGGAAAGCAACACCATGGGGCCTCTACCCGGTCCTCTTCCCTGGACCGCCCTCTCTGTCTGAGGCCTTGGAAGCAGAAGGCTGGTTGTGAAGGCAATCCACCGTGCTGCCAGGGCCTGCAGACCTCAGTGACTCTTATGATGTAGTTTCTAACCCTCACCTCCACTCACATGCGACCCAAACAGAGGCCACCTCTCAGAGAGCTTGCCTTTCTAGACCAACCAAGGCCCGAACTTGGGTGGGCACAAGCCTTAGGGGACATCAGTTCATCCCCCACAGACCTTGGGCCTACCTCAAAGCCTCTGTCTGCAGTCAGGAACACCAGCCCGATATGTCTCTCTGCTGTGGCACTGGCGCCTGCCATGCCGCTATGCCCAGGATTCTCTGGGCCCTGGAGGCAGTGACACCATTTTACCTTCCCAAGATGCTCTGCGCTCTCTCTACCTAGGGGCTCTCTTCCTGGTGGTTACATTGGCCCTGGGAGGATGAGAGGTCCCCTCTGCTGGCAGGTTCCTGAAGCAGGCTGAGTGGGTGGCTTTCCTCTGTCCCCGCCCACCCATCCACCCAGCACTCTCCTCAGGTTGCCCAGACTGCAAGAAGTGCAAGAAAGCTCTTCACAGTAGGGTAGCTAGCAAACAGCTGGTTCCCAACCCTTAGAAGAAGTCGGTGGAACTCTTTCTTTTTTTATGTCCCTTAGAGCATTGTAAAATATAAAGTTAGGGTAGGGTGGTGGTGGTACGTGCCTTTAATCCTAGCACTTGGGAGGTAGAGGCAAGTGGATCTGAGTTCGAGGCCAGCCTTGGCTTAAGAATAAGTTCCAGGACAGCCAGAGCTACACAAAGAAACCCTGTCTCAAAAAAAAAAAAAAAAAAAAAAAATCGGTCTCCTGGACCAATCGTATTTTTTGTACACAGTCACATACATAAGATGAAAAGCTAGAGTGCCCAACCCCTCAACTTCTTTCTGCTAACTTTGCTGATAACAGTGAAGAAGACAAAAATCTTAAACATATTTTTGTGTTAAGATAAAAACGTAAATAGAATACATTTCTATTCTAAGCCAACAAATGGTTTCAGTTTTTCAGTGCAATAAATATCCCCCAGAAGTCAGCACAGTAAACAAAAACAAAAGTGTAACCATCTCCCTTTATGACTGAAGTACAGAAGATCCCAACCTGATTGCTTCTTCACTCATGAGGCAAGCACTGCTGTTAGAAATCTAGAAACCTTTGCACACTTGGGTTCCCAGCACACGTAGGTCTGAGGCAGGAGGACCACAAGTGTGAGGCCAGCCTAGTGAAAACAGTCTCAAAAACAAACAAAAATTAAAAAGTATCTTTAAAAACTCTACAAGCCACTGTTTGTTTGTTTGGTTGGTTGGTTTTTTGTTTTGTTTTGTTTTCAAAACAGTTTTTCTGTGGCGCCTTGGCTGTCCTGGACTTACTTTGTAGAGCAGGCTGGCCTCAAACTCAGAGATCTGTCTGTCTCTGCCTCTCGAGTGCAGGGATTAAAGGCGTGTGCTATCACCACCCAGCTAACAAGCTGCTGTTATACACATGTTTGAATAATAGTCTGCTGAGCACAGATTCTGTAGTTGCACAATAGCCACGTAGCACCAGGCAGTAACTGCTTGAGCACAGGCGGTTATCGAAGCTATAGTAGTCAGGCCAAGTTGCCCAGACCACACCTGTCTGTGTTTTGGAGGAGGTAGATCTGTATGGTATTCAGTGTTGTGTTGTGTTCTTCCCTTAGGTTTTTTTGTTACTGTTTTGGTTTTGGGAGACAAAGTTTTATATAGACCAAGCTGGCTTCAAGCCTACTATGTACCCAAGGCTGGCCTTGAACTCCTGCCTCCCTGCCTCCAATTTCTGAGGGCTTGAATTACAGGCTTATGCCACTGTGTTTACATTCAGGTAGCCGTGTCTAGCTTAAACTCAGACACACTGTAACCAACCCCAGACTCCATTCAGCACTCTCCAGCTCAGCCTCCCTCTCAGGCTCCATTCTGGTACCCACCCAGCCATCCCTTCTCTGTCCTGCCGCCTTCATTCTCCAAAGCCAGGTGGTCCCAAGAGCCTTGGAGAGTTGTCTTTGAAGCATCTTTCTTTTTCCTGCTCTCCTCCCGCTCAGAGGTGAAAGGAAGGTTCTCTTTAGCTGCTCTAGCTCTTCAGTTTACCCAGTGCTTGCCTTGTGGCAACTCTTCTAATCCCAAGGATCAACACAGACAAGATAACCTGCCCTAGGCTCAGATTCTAAACCTACAGTGTCCGCAGAGCTGCCATTTGGCTCTGTGATGCTTTCCCCATCTTGTAACTTACTTCATCCTAGGGAGCAGTGAGCACAGTGGTCCCTGGTTAAGGCTTCACACATAGCAGCTTGCCCTGTCTGTCCTTTTCACTGAGAGTCTCTTTCCCAGAGTTCCTTGCCTCGCCCCTCTGCCATCTGAGGTTTGCTCCTCACCCTGCTTTTACACTTCTTTCTGGTCTTCTACACTCAAAATGGCTGGTGGTGAGCTGGGCCTGGCTGTGTGCTGAGTGGACACCCAGCACACTCCTCAGGAGCCATGGGGGAGGGTGCCAGGGCAGGCAGGGAAGGGGGGGTTCATAGGCTTTGAATTCCCCAAAGTATTCATCGCCATGGCAGGCTGAGGCACATCCTCTAGATGGCCCTGAGGCTTCTCAGTACAAAGGCTGAGGACAATCTGAAGATTGTGTTAGCAGCTTGGGCTGGGGGAGGTAGGGAGGACGGAGGAAACACTAGCCATCTCTCAGAATTCTGAGACTGCAGCCCAGGCCAGCATTCCAGTCTTGTCTCAGCCTGTCCCATTAAAAGCCACCATAGATGCCTTTTTTTTTTTTTAAATCGTTCCCCCTCTTAGCATTTCTTTTCTCCTTTTCGAAGCTGTTGCTCTGGGGTGTCTGGCCCTAACGCTTTTCTCCCTCAGCCACCCTGAGTTCTCTGAGAGTCCATGCGGCCACCTCAGATATGCACACAAGGAACAACCCTGACAGGCTGACAGTGTGAGGAAGATCTCCCCGCCCCCAGGTGTGGGCCCCCCACCGAAGACCCCAGAGTCTCAGAGGGAGGTCTGAGATGCTCCAGACCGGGCAGAGGGACCTGTCACACAGGTTGCAAGCTCAGCCTGCTCTGTGGTTAACGCTGGTCTCTCAGCCTCCGCACCATGAGCCTGTGGGGCTGGAAGGTCCTTGTGAGGGTTGCCTTGTATGTCAGAGTCGGAGCATCTTCATTCTCCATCCCTCACCTGCCACTCACCCTGCCTGAGCTGTGACAGCCAGACGCTTCTCCAGACCTGAGGACAAAGCGATTCCCAGTGAAGAGCTCACTGGCCCCATTGCCATGTCCTTCCATCCTGCTGCACAAGCCCCAGGCCTTGAACAGGCGTGCTTGCCACCTGTCCCCACTGTGAACCCACAACCCTGCACCCTGTCACATCCTCAGTGTCCCTTTTTCTGCCTGGGGCTGGGAGTGTGTTGGGAATCTTATCTCACGTCAATTTGAAACCTCATTTTGGGTCCAGCAGGTTGCTTGTTGATGGCCTGTCTGTGGACGAAGCTCTTAGATTATGGGGGGGTCCCGAGGAAACAGGGTAAAGTTTCAAATAATCACAGGCTAGTGGCCAGGAGGCACATGGTTTAGGAGGAAGGGCTCACACTGGGTTTATCATTCCCGACATCAACACTATCCCACCACCGTACCTTTGCAACTTAGCAAAGGTTTTGTGATGCCACCTGGGCCGTCTTCGACCTTCTGTCTGCCCTTCATGGACCTGCTCCAGACCCACCTGGTCTCTATTCTTTGCCTGCCTAACCCCACCCCAACCCCTCCTTTTTGGTGCAAAAATCTTGTTGCAGGGGAGCATGGGGTGTGCTTTTTTTGGTCAACAGCAAGGAGGCTATGAGACTGGAATAGATAGAAGGAAGGGAGAGAGATGGGATGTGAACTGGGCTAGCCCCCACGTGTCATCTGGACCCCTCTTACTGTGGCAGAGGCCACGACTGTGTGACAGGGTTGCTGCCTGCAGAAAGTCGCTTAGCCCCGATGCCCAGCCTCCAGTGGGACCCGGCAGGGCAGAGGCTGTACAGTGCCCGGGCACCAATCCGAAGCAGGCTGGGAACGGCCGCTGATGATGGTGTGTCTCTCTGTCTGCGCAGGAGTCGGAGCGGCTAGAGCTCATGAACGCAGAGCTGAAGACCCAGATAGAGGAGCTCAAGCTGGAGCGGCAACAGCTGATCCTGATGCTCAACCGGCACCGCCCCACCTGCATTGTGCGCACGGACAGCGTCAGGACGCCCGAGTCTGAGGGCAACCCGCTGCTGGAGCAGCTGGACAAGAAGTGACTGAAGGCCTGGAGGAGGCGGAAGAGGAGGAGGAGGAGGAGGAGGAGCAGCGGAAGTCAGGAGAGGAGCGAGGTGACCAAGGGGCCCTCCCGGGCGCATGACAAACTCTAGGACTAGGCTTAGCATAACTGGCCTCCAGCCGGCTCTTTTATTTGAAAATCAGCCCAGCCACGCGCAAGAGCAAGAGCGGACTGAAGAAACCCAGAGGGACCAAGCGCTGAGACCAAAGTTGACCTGCAGGTAGGGGCTGGCCCACTGTAGGGCCCAGCTGGAAGGGCACCTGAGCGAGAGAAATGCCCACGCAGGTAGCCTCCTCTGGCCCCTCCGCCACGACTCCCACCCAAGGAACCCTTACCAAGCAGCCAAGAAAAGCCACGTATTGCAAACAGTCTGGCCGAGGATGGAACTCAGCGCGGACTGCGATCCACCTTCCCCAGCCCTGCCCAAGCCCGGTGGAAAGGGGTGAACTGTGGGGCTGTGATGGCCCTGCCCCGGGTGGCGCAGCCTGGCGGCCCTGCTGGAATTTTGCTTCGGCTCTGAGGCGCGGGCGCCCTTCCAAAGCACACACTCAATCAATGAATGTTTACAGACTGGCTGTCCTGGCAGGGCTTCCAACTGCACACTTTTTTTTTTTGTACGTTCTGTTTTTTTTTTTTTTTTTTAATATTTTTTACAAAAAAAAAAAGATTTTATACGAGCAATATATATATATGGATTTCTATAATCACTCGATGTGACACAGTACAGATATGCTATGGTCTGTTGTTCCGGACATCCACCCAGCAGTTATGGGCCGTTGTAATTCCTAAGTACTGTAGGCTCTGGGTGTTGGGGGGGGTGGCCAGGCTGGTGGGGTACATTTCCATCCTTGTTAAACCCTTCCTAAGTACTCAGTCCTGTATCGCTCAGTAAACATTGCTCTTAATTACCCAGCTGCCTTGAGTGGTGTCTACTCAGGGAGAGCGCATGCCTAGGGCAGGAGATGTTTGGGGTAGTTTCCATAGGAGCCTTGCCAGGTGAGCCCAAATATGCCTGTTTCACAGATGAAGACGTCAAGGCCTAGAGGCCTTAAAGAACTCGGCACATACCGTTTTGAGAGCACTTGCTTCATTTGTTCGGGCCATTTAAAAAAATACATTACCATTTTTAAGTGTGTGTGTGTGTGTGTGTGTGTGTGTGTGTGTGTGTGTGTGTGTGTAACTGCAGAGGTTAGAGGATTTGGATCCCCTTGGAGCTGGAGCTAAAGGCCGTTGTGAGCCACCTGACGTGCTCTCTGGGGATCAAACTTGGGTCCTCGTAAAGCAGCCCGTGCTCTTAACTGCTGAAACATCTTGCTCTTGCTCCGTGGAGCTTGCAATGGGCTCATCTTGTGCTTGCTTGCTTCAGACCCATCTCCCTTCACCTGCGTGGCAGCCATTGTCCCCGGTTCATGGACAGGGACTTGGAGAACCAGGGAAACAAAATGAAGCCACCACTTGTTGAAGTCTTAGCTTCATGACGAATGCGTGGTCTTACTTTCAACAACAGCACAGGACAGACCTTCCTCTCGCTGTACAAACAGCTTAGCTAAGGCTCAGAAGACGTGTGACTTTACCCAGCGTCACTCAGCCAGCAAGAAGCAGAGCCGGTGTTTGAACCCCACCTCAGACTCATGGCTTTTCCCATCGCCAGCTGCCTCTGTCCTCATGAATGAGTGTTGCATCCCTGAGAATAGGAAGTTTAGAGGCCACCGTTATAGATAGAATTTGGGAGAAGGCTGTAGACTCCGGAGCAGTGGTTCTTAACATGTGGGTTGTGACCCCTTTGAGGGGAGGGGGAGTCATATCAGATATCCTACATGTCAAATACTTGCATTACAATTCATAAAAAATGGAAGAGTCGCAGTTACGAAACTGAAGTAGCAATGAAAATAATTTTATGGTTGGGGGGCCAGCAGAACCTGAGAAACTGTGTTCAAGGGTCACAGCGTTAGGAAGGTTGAGAACCGCTGCTCTGGAGAGTTCTAGGTTGGCCCGTGATGGTGGAGTGAACCAGCCCTCCCGTCTCCACAGTCAGATTTCCTGGCCTGGGCTGCGCCGTTCTTACTGCCATGCACTCAGCACTTGACAGTTTACAAGGCACAGCTAGGTGTGTCATTCTCACTGCTGTTAGGGCTCTGTGAGGCAGGCAGAGTAGTTGCCATTAGCCCCCTTCTGCTGAGCTTACCGAGGCTTGAAGGGGCTTATGGAGCTAAAGGTTCACCCCGCTACAGAGAAGCAGGATGGGAGCAGACTCCAAAATGCTGCTTCCTGGGAATGTGTTGCTTCTAGAGCCGAGTAACTTCTCCATCTTTGCGCCAGTGACCTCTAGTTGCCTCTCAGTCATAGATGAGGCCCCTGGGGGCAGGGAGTGGGGCAGACAGATGTAGAAAATAGATCACTAATGAACAGTTGGTCTCTCTTCTCCTCGAGTTCCCTCCATCCAACTTGCTTGGTGTAATTGATCCAGAGCCCCAGCCTGGAGACCGAGCCCCAGCCCACCAGCTACTATGGCAGTACACAGTGATAACCCATCACTTATGTTCCTTCAACACTGTTCAGCCCGGAGGAAAAGAAAAATGAGACTATTTAAGAGCCCTTCAAGAGGCCCGTAGATAACCCTGCATGGTTACTGTTCACCCCAGGCTGTGGCTCCTCCAGATCCCTGCTGAGATGCCAAGCGCCAGCCCTTCCTAGAGCCAGCCCTTCCTAAAAGCCAGCTCTTCGGCTGTGTGGATGACTGCCTTCCCAGCCCGGTGACCTGAACTTCTCTCCCTGCCATGGTATCTTTCTCCTCCTTAGTCACGTTCACTGGCTTCGCCATCAGAGCCAGCTCCGGGGTGTCTCCTGGGCATCACACATTGCATGTGTTTCGGCGGGTTCACATGGCCTTGGGGGGAGATCGATGCTGCAATCTCAGAAAGACGAGGCAGAGAGAGGAAGACCTCATCCAAGGTCACGGAGCTGTTAGGCAGCAGTGCCGGGACGCTATTACAAGCTCTGGCGGGTAACAGCTGGGCCCGCACCTCCCTGGAAAGGGAAATGCTCTGAGTCTGATTTGTTTGCCATGAGACCTCAGCTGGCAGAGGACCACGGCAGGAGGCAGGAGTGATGGCACAGAGCCTCATGGGCTCACAGCACACACTGAGTTCCCAGCTCTAACGCCCATCTACAAAGGAGAGCTTGCTTCCTTCCTCCTTCCTTCCCTCCTTCCTTCCTTCCTTCCTTCCTTCCTTCCTTCCTTCCTTCCTTCTTTCTTTCTCTCTTTTTCTTTCTTTTCTTTCCTTCTTTCTTTCTTTCCTTTCTTCTTCTTTCTCTCTCTCTCTCTCTTCTTTAAAGTAGGACAGTAGGATCCTAATCTTATGAGGATGTTGTCAGGATCAAAGGAGGAATGGAGGTAAGTGGGCATTGTCCCGCCTTCTGCTGTTGAGCCTGGTGTTTATCATATAAGATTATTTTAATACCTTTTAACCTCTAAAGGCAGGCTGCAGGGTTTGTGTTCTGGTCATGTCTTGACCCCGTGATGTGATAGATGCCCGGGACCCAAGACTCCTGGGCTCCCACAGCTGTGTTGGGTTCATCATCCCCTCCCTGGAAATCCAGGACTAAGCAACTGGGTTTCGTGCAATCACAACCTGACAAAGCTAGGTGAGACACAGTCACCATCACTGGAACCAGAATTGGACGGTCAGGGTGTCGGCCGAAGACAGCTTCCATCCTCTGCAAGTGACCCGGGGGACAGAAGTGCAGCTAGTGTGCTGTGATGACCAGTGGTGGCAAAGCGCTTCCTCTGACAAAGCAGTTTCCTCCCTAAGAACGTGCTTGGGAGGAGCTCTGTCACAGGCTCCCAAAAGATGCCCCAAAACCCACTGACACACTGTTTATGCTAAAGGAAAACTGGAGGTAACCTAATACCCTGTGGAGGTAAGACTAGACAAAGAGATGATGGTGCGTCGCAGAGCAGAGTGTCAGCCCTTAGAAATGAGCTAAGGGCTACGTCTGTCATTACGGATGAATCTTGGAAACAGTCGGGAGAGCGAACTACAGAAGGATGTCTTGTATGGAACATTTCTCAACATGTAAATCAATACGTTATTAAGGACACACACAGATCTGGGGAACGGGCAGAACAGCAAATGCAAGAATCCTATAAATATCAAAATCAGTGACTGGGCTTGACGCTGTGGGTGGGCAGAGACCAGCAGTGGCTTCTTCAAGGGTGAGTAGGGCATGGGGGGTTTCAACTGTGCACGTGACTGTTCCGTTCCTTTTAAGCACGGTCATCAAATGTAGAGTAACTCCAGACTTGTCAGAGGTGGGCTGTATGCTCAGAGTCACGCTTATTCTCCTCTCCTCCCTTGTCCGGTTGTTTTCTGATGAAAGAGAGAAAATTGCAAATGCAAATAGAAGATTTGGATTCCCCCCCCATTCTTTCCTTAGCAAACTCGGAAAATAAAAGCCACTCTGAAATTACAATGGATTGCAACACTTGGCTCTAGCTTTGTGCCAAGTTCAGTTGCTGTCTAGAGAAGCAATTCGGTGTGTGGGCCTGGCGGCCTTGCCCCGGGGAGCGCATCCTGAGGGTCTTCCCCTGGAAAGCATGGCTCTGCTCTGGTTCAGCAGCTCTGCTGCCTGAGTGCTGGGGTGGGCAGCTAAGGCGCATTCAAAGTTAACTCTCGTTCCCTCGACTCTCTCCTTCCCTGCTGACTTTGCAGCCCCGTGTGCTAAAGACTCCACGGTGCCCCTGAAATGGAGAAGCCGGAGTTTGGGGACAGCCTCTGAAAGGCAAGACCCCAGTGGTCCTGGTGCACCGCTCCCTGTCACTGCCGCCGTGACCTCACCACGGGAAGAATGACTTAGAACAACACGGATTTTATTATCTCTCAGCTCTGAAGTGTGAAATGCGTGTCGCTGGGCTAATGCCAAGACGTTGACAGGACCGTCCTTTCTGCACACTAGGGAGGAATCTGTGTCCTTGTTTTTTTTTTCAGAGCTGTAGCTCACAGCCCTCTTCCATCTCCAAAGCCAGCAGTAGCTACTCAAGTCCTCTCAAGCATTAGTTCCCTAACACTGACTCAGGCCCTTGTTCTGGCACTGCAGTCAATTAACTCATCAACTGAGACCTCTCCCTGGGCCCCCTGTACAGTAATTTTTTTAAGACCCTGTGATAACATTGTCCCCACCCAGATCGTATAGGATAAACTCTTTCCTTTTAAGGCTGAATAAGAACCTTATCCCCACGTGCAAACTTCATTCCCCCTGGTTTGTGACAGCAGGATCCAAGGATTACAGTTCGGCCCTCTCTGGGCTGGGGCCGTTATTTTGCCTACCACCCAGGAAACGAAGACTCAGAGATCCTTAACTATAGCCTTCCTGCCACCAGGAATAATAGGCTACATGCCCCGTGACCGCCACAAGATGTGTGGGGTACCTCCATCCACCCATCCCCCAGTGCCTGGCGCACAGACCTACACAGAAGCTGACAGACCTGTGAAACAGCACAAACACGGGAGCACGGCCCGATACGGAGATAAGTGCACAGACCACCACGTTCACGCACAGCCATTCGCAGATATATGCAGACACATGCACAGTCGGAACAAACCAATGAGAGCCTCCTCTTATTCCCTTGTGTAAAGTTCTGAAATTTTGAAGCAAGCTTCTTTACCATCCTGGCATATCCTGGTCATCTGGGAATGCCTAAATTTGGCTGACAGGGAGGTCAGTTGAGCTAGTTAGTGTATGCTGTTTCAGATTGAAAACTGTGGGACAAGACCCGCACAAAACCAAGCCATTGGACCTTCCAGCAGGGAGCAGGGAGGGGCTCGGGTTACTCCCACCCCTAGCTGGGGGGCTAGTAAAGTTGCTTGAGGGCGGAAGTCCTTTTTCTTAGGGAGTTCGGCCCTGGGT